TTGTGCCAACTACCCTTTTTCACTCTTAATTTAATCGAATTGTACTTTGTTGAGGAAGTTAAGAAAAAATGGTACATGAAAAGAGAGATTTTGTGGTGAAGGTAAGCAAGAATGAGGTGGTGGTGCCGGTATTGCCCATTCAAGAAATTAGGCTACCACTTTCGAACCTCGACTTGCTCTTGCCACCGGTGGACGTCAGCATTTTCTTTTGTTACAAGAAACCCGAAAATTTTACGTTCCATTTGATGGTGGTTGTTCTTAAGAAGGCCTTGGCACAAACTTTAACATCATATTATGCATTTGCCGGCGAGCTCGTAAAGAACGACGTGGGCGAGCCCGAACTTCTCTGCAACAACCGGGGGGTCGATTTCGTCGAAGCTTTGGCCGATTTAGAGCTCAAGGATCTTGACTTGTACAATCCTGATTCCACTATCGAAGGAAAGCTTGTACCAAAGAGGAAGCAAGGACTGCTGGCCATCCAGGTGAGTACTTGGACTGAAAAGTACTTTCATTTCTGCATGTGCCTTTTGAAATTTTAAATTTACATCATGTCAATAATCTTACTTTCAGGTCTACACTTGAAATTTTAAAAAATTGTCCTTGCTAATATTTAACTTATGTTTTAATTACTCGAATGTATCGACTAAACTCTTAAACAAAATTGGTTGTTTTACTAATGGAATCCACGCTGGCTGAATAAACAAGTTTAGTACTACAAGTTCAGGTCATATGGGCATGTACTGTCCTTGTCCCGCTGCCATAGAGGGAATCTTTTTTTAAAACAATTATACACGTTTTACGGGGGCGCAACTACAGCATACTGCTTTGAAATAAGGGACAAATATAAATACGATAATAATAAGGGTGTGTTTGATTGCATATATTTTTCTACTTTGAAGTGTTTGATTGATATTTTTTCCATCGAAAATATTTTCAAACTTTTAAAAATATACCTAATTTTTTTTTTTTTTTGAAGGAAAACATTTTCTTTGGAGGGAGGAATAAGTTTTTGCTTTCCTCAAAATAAGGAAAATATTTTCTTTTCTAAAATATATTTTCTATGCAATCAAACATAAAAAAATAAATATCTTTAGTACAATTATATGAGTGGTTCAACATATGCCCTTCATATTACATATAAGCATATGTTGGCTCGTGAAAAATGATTTTAAGCAGATTCTTGATCATGTAACATCATCGTTGAACAAGTGAATTCTCAGAAAAAAAATCTATGTCAATTTCAAGTTCATTTGACGTTAATTCAAAGTTTAGGTTATTCGAAAAATCGATTATAAGAATTCAGTGATGTCCTAAAGTATCTGAATATTTATAAACTTCAAAAATCTACTTATAATTTATTTCTTTATTTGAAAGGCCACAAAACTGAAATGCGGCGGAATGTTGGTGGCATGCACATTTTCACATCAGGTGGCGGATGCCTATTCCGCCAACATGTTTCTCGTTTCATGGGCGGAGATGGCTATGTCCAAGCCATTATCTCAAAGCCCATCTTTCCGCCGGTCTATTCTTTTCCCTCGCCGGCCTACCAGTTACGACCTTTCGGTAGATAACATGTACGTTCCGATTTCATCTCTGCCGCCGCCGGAGGCCGATGATGATGATGATCAAATAGCAATAAGTCGAATATATTATATTGTATCTGATCGAATCAATGATCTCCAAGTATTGGCTAATGCTTATAATGACAGCAGCAGTGGAAGAAAAAGGACGAAGTTGGAGGCATTCAGTGCCTTCCTGTGGAAGATGATTGTTACCGGCGAATTTACGCGAACTGATAAGTTTTGCAGACTGGGAATTGTGGTTGACGGGAGGACTAGATTGATTGATGGAGATGAAAATCAAGAGAAATTGATAAAACCGTATTTTGGCAATGTTCTGTCAATCCCATTTGGTGAGAAGAAAATTGAGGAGTTGAAGGAGAAGCCATTGAGTTGGGTTGCAAATGAAATTCATGAGTTTTTAGGTACTGCAGTGACAAAAGAACATTTCTTGGGGCTAATAGATTGGGTAGAGGCTCATCGTCCCGAGCCAGGCCTGGCCAAAATATACGGTTCAAGAGTAAGTGAGGAGGAGCCGGCGGTGGTCGTGTCATCGGGGCAGCATTTTCCGGTGAAAAAAATGGATTTTGGGTGGGGAGAGCCCTGTTTTGGGTCTTACTATTTTCCTTGGGGAGGGAAATCTGGTTATGTTATGCCAATGCGAAGTCCAAAGGGNGGTGGGGAGAGCCCTGTTTTGGGTCTTACAATTTTCCTTGGGGAGGGAAATCTGGTTATGTTATGCCAATGCCAAGTCCAAAGGGGAATGGAGATTGGATTGTTTACATGCACTTGTTGAAAGGGCAATTGGATTTGATAGAGAAAAACGCAGCTAATGTATTTTGCCCTTTGACTTCTGAATATCTATGCTTCAACTGATTTTCATTATGTATTGAATAAAAAATAGTAATAATCATTGGTATTATGTAGTTGAAAATAAAGTTCGACTTTGATTGAGTAGCAGAAGTAACAAAAAATGATTCCCAAACATAGCCTAAATCTTCGCAATTGCAAACACGTCAAATCATGCTAATTATTTAATCTAATGCATCACGATTACCTAAGTCGTCGCTGTTTTAACTTTGCTTGTGCCATTTCTGTCGAGCAAATCACTTGTGATAATTATTGAAGCCATTGTGCAACAACCACTATAAGAGTGGCCCATCTTATGTTGGACTTAATATTCTTGCATATATCATAGCCACAATATCGTCTTCATTCCACAGTTTTCATGCCTGATATTTTGAGTAGTTGAGTCACGACAAAGAATCATTTTGGGGCATTTTAAGACACATCACAATCATGTAGTCCTTATTTGATTGCACTTCAATTTTAAGGAAGATGAAAATTAAATTCCATTTTCCACATGTTTGATTGTCCAGATTTTCCATAGAATTGGTCTTCCATGTTTCACCCACTTGCTCTTGTGAAAAGCTTTTTTAGGCAACTTTTTATTTTATTTTTTGTTTAATTTTGTTTATTTATTATTATTATTATTATTATTATTATTATTTGCAATGGAAACAAATTATATTCTCAATTGTAACAAAATATATTCCTTCAATGTATAATTTTCATGGAAAACAAAATCAAATGAACACTAAAAGGTCTAAACTTTCAAAAAATTTCAGGTGAAAAATTATAGCAATTAATTGACAATTCTCAATAAAACAAGTTTTAAACAATTCAATTTCCTAAAATTTATTTTCTTTTTACCCAAATTCTATTTTTGTAATCAAATGGATCCGTAAAGAAAAAATAAATCAAGCAATAGATAAGTGCGTATGTCGGTGGCAGGAGTGCGAGGGGAAGTACTGGACGGTGAAAAAGAGTGTTTTGCAACATTCGAACAACAAAAAAGATAATACTTCGAATGGGGACAAGAATAATCCACAAAGAACAGTAATAAGAGGGAGTGGAAATTTATACCAGATTATAAACCTCAAAATTTCTAGTTAACGGAAGAAATGAATTCATGTATGTAGGAAATGTACAAATACATTTGAGATTTAAATTAATCTGAAATTCATGTAGATAGTATTTGGCCCATCTAATGTTGGACTTAATATTCTTGCATATATCATAGCTATAATATCGTTTTCATTCCACAGTTTCCATGCCTGATATTTTGCGTAGTTTAGTCATGACAAATAATCATTAGGGGGCATTTTAAAACACTTCACAAACACGTAAGCCATATTTGATTGCATTTCAATTCCATGGAAGGTGAAAATTAAAATTTATTTTCCACCTTTTTGCATGTTTGATTGCTCAATTTTTTTATGGAATTGGTTTTCCATGTTTCACCCACATGCTCACGAGAAAAGCTATTTTAGACAATTTTTTTAATTTCTTTTGGCAATAGAAACAAATTATATCACTTTAATGGACAATTTTCATGGAAAACAAAATTAAACGAACACCAAAAGATCCAAAATTTCAATATTTTTTAGGTGAAAAATTATACCAATCAAACACAATTAATTGACAATTTTCATTAAAACAAGTTCTAGGTAATTCAATTCCCTAAAATTCATTTTCTTTCCACCCAAATTTCATTCTTGCAATCAAACGGACCTGTAAAGAAAAATCAGGCAACAAATAAGTGCGTATGTCGATGGCATGAGCGCGATGGGAATTATTGGACGATTAAAAAGAGTGTTTTGCAACATTCGAACAACAAAAACGACAATACTTCGATTGGGGATAGGAGTAATCAACAAAGAACAGTAATAAGAGCGAGTGGAAATTTATACAAGATTATAAACCTCAAAATTTCTAGTTAACAGGAAGAAATGAATTCATGTAGATAGGAAATGCACAAATACATTTGAGATTTAAATTAATCTGAAATTCATAGGCTTTTCACTTAGAATTTCAATGAAGATCAGCATAACAACTTGTTCCAAAGTCTTGTCTGCAAAGCAAAAAGACTATGAAACTTCAGGATTTCTGTGAACGAATAGAAAGTATTTGGCCCATCTTATGTTGGACTTAATATTCTTGCATATATCATAGCCACAATATCGTCTTCATTCCACAGTTTCCATGCCTGATATTTTGAGTAGTTGAGTCATGACAAATGATCATTAGGGGGCATTTTAAGACACATCACAATCATTTAGGCCTTATTTGATTGCACTTCAATTTCATGGAAGATGAAAATTAAATTCCATTTTCCACATTTTTACATGTTTGATTGTCCAGATTTTCCATAAAATTGGTTTTCCATATTTCACCCACATGCTCATGGGAAAAGCTTTTTTAGACAACTTTTTATTTTATTTTTTGTTTAATTTTTTTTTTTTTTTTTTGCAATGGAAACAAATTATATTCGCAACTGTAAGAAAATAT